TGTAAACACATAATCTCCCTGCTCGTTGAAAAACCTGCAAATCTATAAAGATGTGCTGGTGCTGTGTGGCTCCAGAAAACCCAGGGACTCATAAATATATTTATTACAAGCAAATGAGGGGGTGAAGTCATTATAAATACAGTTTCCTTAGGGAATAAATTATGGCACAGTGAAACAACTTCCCTACACAGTCACACCTCTGAAATAAGCATGAAATTGCCAAATGGGGTTCAGGCACTGTGTGTGTGTGCGTGTGTGTGTTTGTATTTGCATGTGGTGCGCTATTTTCCATTTTTGGACTAGTTATGGACTTTAAACCAGTACAAAGTTGTATAGTACGTAACTATAGAAATATAATAGGTGTCTGCATTTATTTTTACTGCAACCACATTTAACTTTAGCTAAAAAGTTTGTTTCTTAATTATGGTGAAGGAAAATCTTTAGGAAATGAATTTACAAATCAATGAAGCGTAACCGTCTACTGATATGAACAAGACAATGTTTTATAAATGTGTGTGCTAACAAGATGTAAAGTTATCTTTGAGGGCAGCCGTGGTCAAAAAACTAGAATAGTGAGCAGGCTTGGTAAAAGAAAGTTGCTAGTTTGAATCCCTGAATTTCCCATCCCACACGACTGAAGTGCTCACTGCTCCCAGTGTGTGTGCAGTGGGTGTATTAAATGCAGAGGTCAAATTTCCTGTGTGTGCAAACCCACTTACAAAATAAAAGATTATTCTTAAAAATAGTTCAGGGCACAGCTGAAGTGTTTTGAAACACACTGGTGTCCTTTGGAAGCTCCGATTCAGCATGAAATCAAAATTCCAAATGTTTCAACGGTAAAAGAGAAATGCTGAATGGTGGTCAGGGGTTCAGTATGAACTGTTAAGGCAAGAAGGACGCAGTGTAAGAACAACCTGTCAAACCTGCTGAGCATCATCCCTTGAAGCCTTTCAGACATTGTAAACCAAACTTCACTGACATTCCCTTTTGCCGATGCTCGGATATCGTGCTGTTACGCTGCACTCTCAGCTCTGACAGACTGTGTGATTATGTAAATGCCTGTGGTTCAGCTTTCACAAACACACATTTGTGACCGTCCATGTAGTGTGGACTGGAATCTGTGAAGACCGGCAGATTCACAGGTGTTAATAGAAATCAGTTTATTGATTAAGGTGGAGATTCAGGGAGGTTACGGAACTGTTTGACCTCCTGCCCCTGCATCCTCGCTCAATATCAGTGGCAAATATAGATTCTTGCAGGCAAATCTGACTTAATTGAACTGGAGGAAGCCTCTTTTTTCTCAGTGAATAGTCAGAGAAGGTGATGAATGATGATGGTGATTGGGACTTTATCCACATGAGGAGAGAAACAGTTGATTAGCTGGTTCTTCATTACTGTAACGGGAAGACTGGGTGGTATTGGGCTATGCAGAATTTTTACAGGGGAGAAAAAAGGAGTCCAAGAGTTATTGACAAAGCTGCTTAGTAAGACACATTTTATTACTTAGCCTGTGACCTTACTGCCTGTTTTTATTGTAACCATGCCAACAAAGGTCTTAACCTTGAGGAAGCACATATCCAAGAACATGGCATTTCCTAAACCTAATCAAGTAGTTGTGCCGAAACCTGACCACTATAGCTGTGTCTCAATTCAGGGGCCGAATCCTTCGGAGGCTGCATTTAAAGACTTTGTCACACACGGGCTGTCCCCATTTTAAAGGCTACTTCAAATGCTGCCGACAAACAAGTCCTTCCATCTCAGAGAAACAAAGGCAATGGACGAATTCTTCCCTGCCCAACCTATCCCTGGATTCATTGTACTTTAGTTACGAACACTTGAGTATCACACTTCAACTAAACAAAAACAGCTAAACGCGTAAAAGAAACAAAAGGCAACGTTCACGGAAATCCTTCATAGACCAGACCGCCTCCTTCATGGGCCAAGTAGATCATGTCCTACCAAGTAAATGACTGTCCCACAACTTAATCAATGTGTTAATTATTGTTACCATGCTGACAAGGATCTGGTACACCTGCCACTGAAAGACACTTCTTTGGGTCTTGCTGCTTTGTGGACTTACTGTGACTGTGAGGTCATAGTTAGTTCACTGTACTTCATGATGTCCCTTTAACTCCAATTACAGTTGAGATTGGGTCAGAGCATTTCCATATTTTTCAGGTTATTTAAGTATACATCCTTAAATTCCTTTTTTATTATACATGGCAGCAGTGTCTTCAAGGAAACTTAAACTTGGCATATGCATTTGGTCCTGTGGGTGGTCTCCAAATTTTCTCAAAAACCCAAGTATGAGGAAGTTACTTGAATGAGTAATGAGAAGTACACTCCTGGATTCAAACTGATGTGAGTGCACGAGAGGTTTTTAATTTTCCTTAAGAGACACTTGCCCAGTAGTTACAAGTGTGCAAATGAAAAACCACACAATTCTATTTGTCCTCCTTCTAGGACCTTCTAACAGATCCACAGCAGACTACCGGCCCACCTCACTCAACAACATGCTCCACATACACAGCATCAGATCTGTGAAGGTGCAGTTAGATATGACCTGGAGAAAGAAGAGTCTAATGAAGGGAGGGAAATCTGGCAGGGGAGTAAGATCATACTGGATTCTATTGCAAACATGCAGGTTTGGAGAACTCTGCTAGAGCATGTGTAAATTTCAATTTCATTTTAACCTCAAATTTTTTATGCATCCTCACCTGCCAGCCAGTGGCCAGAGGCATTATGGTTTCGGTTTGTCCATTCGTCCGTCTGTCTGACCGTCTGTCTGACCGTCTGTCTGACCGTCTGTCTGATCGTCTGTCTCCCAAACTCGTGAACGCGATATCTCAAGAAAGTGTTGAGGGAAATTCTTCAATTTGGTACAAATATTCACTCAAGGGTAAAAAGATTTGATTTTGGTGGTTAAACGTCAAGGTCATGGTGGACCTCACAAAGTACATTTTTTGCCTTGTGAAGGTTATATTTCTGGAACGTCGTCAAGGAATCCTTTCATATTTGGCACAAACATTCAATCGGACTGAAGGATTAAATTTTGGTAGCCAAAGTTAAAGGTCACTGTGGCCTGACAAAGTATGTTTATGTTTTTTTGAACACAATATCTCAAGATCAACTCAAGGGAATGTCTTCAAATTTTGTACAGACGTTCACATTGACTCAAAAATGATCTGATTTGAAACCTATATATCAGGAATTATTTGGCCTCTTGAATGTGATGTCTCAAGACTGCTTAGATACATTTCATCAACTTTCGGTCAGTGATTATGTTTCAGTGGTCAAAGGGAAAAAAAGTATGTTGAAATATGTACATAGACACTGCATTGGTTGGTGGAGGCATGCAACCACAACACAGTAATTCCGTGTGTATTTAAATTCAAGATCTTGATACATGAATAAAACTATAAAAATAAGTACTCCCTTAGAGGCAGACTGTAGTGCAAATTGAGAATGTGTGATGTAAAATAATTAATTATAAACATAGCTAACATTGCAGCATTAAACTTGTTATGACTCTGTTTAGGCTCTCCATTTTATATTATTAACCAAAAGCAATGATCTCTTGCATTACATAAACATTGTGTTGGCTGTCTAAGACAAGCTACTGCATTGCCACCACAACTTAAAGCAGTTTAGTAGTAAATGAAGTTAGCTAGAGCCGCTGTCAGACACTGTAGTTATTGTCCTGCCAAATAAAATGTCCAGAAAGTGTCGAAGTGACCCCGTGTGAGAATACAGCAGGAAAATGTCCAGAAAACCCACAGCGATCAAGTGGGCGATGACATTTCTAAAATGCGACAGAAAAAAAAAAATGAAAACAATAAAAGCAATCCAAATATTTCAGGATGAAAGAGAGGAACTATACACAAAGAAGACATGGACAAAGATGTCAATTGGTAAAGAATTGGTGTTAGTCTTAACAAAAACATTTCCACAGCAGAATTTATACCTTATATTCCACCTAACTTGAATGTTCTGGACATTTTACTGTTATTGTGAACAAGTCTGACAAGGACAATATCCTACTACATTCTTCATATGTGAAAGACAAACTCAAGAAAATGTTTAGAACCAATTTCCCCTACATTTTCCATAGTTCATGTCTGAAAACATCTTAGAGGAAATGGTTGGGTGCCAACATTACTCACAGTGCAACTCAACGGTATAATTGGAAATGTAGGTCTGTTGTGCTATTGGCGGCAACTTGAAATTCAAGACTCAAGTGAAGATGAGGAGTGGGCTTCTTTGTTACTCCAAACAACCTCTAATTTTTAGTTTCCAACTTCAATTCGATTTAGAGGCAGTTTATCAGAAATCAGATACATTTGGTGCTGTAAGTTCTTGAGTTGAAAAAGAGGTGAAGTCCAAATAGTACTTTAGGTTTAACACAAATATATTCTCGCTTCAACAATTTAAAGGTTTTATTTTAACACTTATAAAAAAAACACTTCTTTACTCCAACTCAGCTGAAAGGTATTTGGTCCATCACCCTCTAAGACGCTTGGACATCCCAGCACCAGCAGGACGGGGAGGAGGTGAGGAAGGAGTCGTTTGAGGAGGAAGAGGAGGGAGTCTGTTCCGCTTGGATTGCCCCAGCAGTGAGGAAGGAAGCTGGGCTGAGGGAGGGGTGGGTCGGTGTCTCTCCCTGTCTTTCCTCTGCCGGCCGCGTGTGCGTCCCGCTCCGCTCCTCCACGGCTCGAGAGGGGAGAGAGAGAAACAGAAAGAGAGAGGGGTGGGGGGGAGAGGGGGGAGAGAGAGGCTTGACGCATCCGAGCGAGTGAGAGGAGCACACGGAGGCTTCGCTTTCGAATATGCAACCTGCGAGGCGCACCGCCGTCAGCTACTAACACACACACACACACACATACACATACACTCAGAGAGAGAGAGAGAGAGAGAGAGAGAGAGAAAGAGAGAGTGAGAGAGTAAAGAGAGACGGGGATGGAGAGGCAGTAGTGGCGGTGCAGCACAGCTCGGCACAGCTCAGCCCATGCATGGATGTTGCGCCACACAAAAGAACGAGCAGCAGCATCTTTACGCACAAGTGAGACGGATATCGTTGTCTGGTCCGGGAGCGTCGCGGCGGCTATACAGTGATGTTGGTGTGTGTGAGCGCACAATTAGATTTAGTGACAGAACACGGATTAATCTGAGGCTGTGAATCCCACGGAGACACCACGGCTGCCAGGACAGGTAAGACTGACTGATTCCTATTCCTATTAGATAATACTGATCAGTGTTCAATCCTTTTCCATGTAATAACTTCAGCACCTGTCGGCGCAGCTCAGACACAAATAAAAAGCGCACTTTACATCCTAACTTTTCACGGATGGCATTAGAACCCTGACGCTGTGAGCTGCAGAGGGGAAGTTTGCATCCAGGATTGCCTTCTCTGAATTTCACCCTCTGCTGATCTCATTTGCTTGTGTCTACTTTGTTGTGGGACTATCGTGGTGGAAGCTAAGTAATCCGAGAACGTGTGTGTGTGTGTGTGTGTGAGAGAGAGCGTCTCCCACATCAGGACAGATGTTTAGTGACCCTCCCTAGAATAATCCCAGCGGATTTTGTTGATTATGCTGCTGACCACCACACGCGGCCACGGGAATCCGTCTAGTCCTGGAAACTAGAGAGAAAAACAAGCTCCAACGCTACAAGAAATGTGCACATGTCTCAGTTTGATTCCTGAACGATGGAGGGTGAACCCACCTCGATTTAGGATTTAGGAAGTTAACGCCGAACTGGTGTAGAATTGGAGTTATGTTGCCTTATGATGCCCATAAGTGGAGCTCAGGATGAATCAGCATGTGCCACTGTATCATTGCTCTAATGGTGTTAATCAGTGCATCTGTCAGTCACTATGTAAGCTGTCAGTGGTATAGCCTGTGTTGGGCCTGGAGTCTGATGGCCAGCAAAAGCCATATAAACCAGCTTTTAATGTGTTTAATAGATATGAGCATATGTGCAGCCCCTGCACGTTTAATGTGCCAACTCCTGCTGGAACTGCTCACTCAAAACATGTCTAAAAAGTAAAGCCTCTAGATTTTTAAAGCTCTGAAAAGCCTGCATGGCGTGTACAGCCAGATGAAAATGTGTCAGTGCGATGATGAGACCAGTCAGAGGAGACCATGTGCTGCAGTGTACCCGTCTGATGATATATTGTTCATTCAGCATTAAGTCTGAGGAGCAGCCTCTGTGACATAGACTCCTCATCTGACACTGACAAGAGCTGGACTTATCCTTAGCCAGGGGGAAACAGGACAAGGCTTCACCTCAGATGGGTTCAGATTATTCTACTGCAAACATGTCCAATCAAGATGCTGCAGACTCACAGAAGCTTAATTAACTTCAAGATTTATGCCACATAAATGTCAGTGATGATTACTAAAGGCATCTGTTTTTTGTTTTGTTTTTTTTTTGTTAATGGTATCCGGTGGCTGTGTGATTGCAGCCTCACAGGAAAACCAGCCTTTTTAATGGCACGGCAGCATCCTGGTAGCCAGCAACCCTGTCAGAAGTGACGGAGCGCCAAAGTGACATTAAAAATACCCTGGGATAGGTGCATTTAGAGGCGCGGCATAAAAATGTCATCGCACGCTTCCCGCAGGAAGTATCGAAGAAATGTCATGGAGGTCATCTTTATTTCATGTCTCCAGGAAAACTAGTTGAAGGAGCAGGAGAAGCGTAGAATGTGTGGGTTCTGTGCAAAGCGTTGCTGAATGTGTGAGGGGTGTGATGGAGAACATTCAGCGTGCGGCTGCATGTCTCCTCTTTGTCATATAGCTGCACTTCCTCTGCTCCCATTGACTTGTTTTGTCACTTGATATCCTATAAGTGCTGCCGTTACAGCAACATGGGCTCTTTATATTCATCGTGATAGTGTCATCCTCAGACTGTCAGCTGCTTAAGCTGCACAGAGGCAGGCTGGGAATTAAAGGGCGGGAAAACTTGTTACTTCATTCTCCGCCCTGAACGCTTTCACCTGTTTTACACCTTTGTCTTCATGTTGGCCTGTTTACTAATGAAAATAACTTTCATTGAATCAAAATATGGTTATGTCTTTATATTTCCTGATTGTTCCCCGTTATTTTGAAGTGGTATTTTCCCCTTGGGACAAATTGAAAGTCTTCAGGCCGTATCTTACACCCAACACAAGTGGCATCAAGTGTGATGCAAGTGTCTTTTTTCTAGTTTTAAACCAACACAGCTGTCATTTTCCAATCCAGCGCCCTTTGTTTGAATAGCAAATGCATCTTCACCCATGGGTATGAGTGTGTTGCTCTTACAATGATGTGTGGTCAGGTGCAGTTTTATCTTGAGGCAGCAGAAGGAAATTGCAACAACCTGGTTTTAGGTTCGTGCTGGACTATTTTACCGTTATTTTAATAGCACATTAACAAGATAGCAATAGCACCTACATACAAACAGCATACACTTTACAAATACTGATGTACAAAATAATGGCAGGAGAAAATTATGAATGAAGTAAATACTATTGAAAAATGACCAATTAATCAACTGGTCTGTAAAACTTATTCTCACATTTGATTAATAAATTATAAAGATGATATAAATAATTTATCAATATAAAAAAAACACTTCATTTAAATTTTGTGTCAATCAACCGTTTGTTTAATCAACAAATCTTTAAAGATCGAATTTGAATCTCACTCTCTGGGAAAATGTTTCGGGTCAGTATTTTTTGGGACAGTGTATAAACAACATCTGAATAATCTCAGATAAGGGAAATGATGAAAATAGATACAAGTAAAAGAATAAAGAGGTCCCAGACCCGACTAATGTTTCCATCTTCCACATCTGACCTCATGTCGCTTTCATACAAACACTTTAGAAGACAATGTAATATCTGACAGGTGTATATTTTCATGACCCCCCTGAGTGATTTGTAACACAGTAACCAGCCGCAAATAAAAACAAATGGTGTCAGTTGTGTGGCTCTGCTGCTGCTTCTTTTCTTTCCCCTCACCCGCCTAGATTTTTAAAGGGAAGAGTGCAGTGAGATTTTCCACAGCACCATAAAGGGTAAGGAGGCTGTGGGCCCCTGATACTTCTCCTGTGCTGTGGTTTTTTTTTGTACGCCGCGCATTACGTGCATGAATCTGGCATAAGAGGGTTGTTTGACGAGCTGGGAGACGAGTCATGAAGGGAATCTTTCCTGTCAAGCACAGTGCTGGGAAATTAGACACTTCCAACTTCGCCATACTTGGAAAAAAAGGTATGATACTTGTGATTAGGCTGTGTTCCAGGACACGCCGTCGGGCAGCCACAGAAAAGATGAATTTTGGTCTCACTGTATAAAGTGAGTCGGCATGGAAGGACATGAAGAGAAGTCACCATATCCACTCATTTATACAGTTTTTTTGTATCTTCTTTTGGGAGATTCTTTTCTTTGAAAAATATATCTTATATCTTTCTTTCTGCGAAGCAAAGACTGAGTTTCAATGCATGGGCTTACATATGTATAAAATCTCCCTTCTTCCACCACACTATTACTCCTGTCAAAGCTAGGCCACGTCTGAGAGTAATTTACACAAAAATATGTCCCTTCCTCACAATGGATAAAGCGATTGTAAGCACACTTGTGTGAATCGGGGGCACAGAACTGTCAGGAAGGAGTACACTTGACAATCATGTAGCAGAGCGCCTCCGTGTTTTTCTCCTCCTCCAAACTCTCTGTTCATTTTTTAATGTTAAGAATGAAAAGGAAAAGATCCAACGAGACAGCCCCATCTCCTGCTCTATTTATCTAGTCTCACTGGTTCCATAAATGCCCTATTTGTAATCCAATTGTATTAGAATAAGAGAATAATATCCATGTTTTAGATGCTTTATCCAATGGTTTTCGAGGCACTGCTATCCTTTGGGGTAGGACCTCACAGACTGTCTGCGCCCGCAACATTTCCTTGATTCAAGCACTGCTACACACTGCCGCTCCTTGGGAATGGCTTTAATTGAGTGCTTAGTAAGGGCAATGCCAGACAGCAACTGACTTCAGAGGAGAGGCGGGGGGGGGGGGGGGGGGGGGGGGTCTGAGTACTGGAACTGTTGCATTATTAAATGTACTTATATAAGGCCTGCAAACATCTCTCTTACAAGTAGTCTCAGGACGGAGCCAGCGTCTTGATGATACACTTCACTTGAGTGTGGACCGTATATTTTCGTGAAGATCCACGAGAGCATGTTTCCAGAGGTGTATTGTGCTCCACTGGGTGTGGCTGCTGTGTCAGAGCCATCTTTTCCTCCCTCATCCAGTACAATGTAAGCACTCGGTAAAGCTGCGTTCCCCACAGGGCATTGTTATGTTCTTTGTCTGCGTCGAGATTAAAGGACTGAATGGAGCAGCTGGGATGACTCAAAAGACAGTTTTAAATACGAACTGAACACCGTGTTTCCTGATGACTGTCGATAAAACACAAGGAAGCTCGCTCTTTGTCTCTGATATTCTCGCCAGCTCGGTTGGAATCACGCTACTAAAAGTAAATAAATAAAATAAACTGGCTATCTTAATCCAGACTCGTGGTTTCTAGCGATTGTTGAACTCAGCAACATTTTCCCGAAACACATTTTCCTTTGAAATCGACCCTGAGGAAACAGATGTGTTCTCAGCTCACACAATGCCCTGTGAAGACTTTTAGCCTCATGTTGCATCAAACCTTGATTTACTGTACTTTCCGTAAGAGCATTAAAATACCTTAAAGCCGTCGCACAGTGTTCATCCTTGTGTTTCCTCTGAAGCCTGAGTCTTTGTGCTTCTTCCTTGTCTGGAGTTTAAAAAAGCGTTGATGAACTGAAAAGTGGAGCATGAGAATAAACAGTGTGTCTTGATTGTATCAAAAGAAGAGGATTCATTTGGGTGAAAGCAGTTAATTAGAATGAGATGGAATTAATATACGAAAGCCGGGTCACTATTATATTTTTAGTTAGTTATTTTCAATTCTAATTATTTTCTTATTATTCAAAAAAAGATTCAAAAGAAAACTGATAATGATTAAAATGGAAGTTTGAACAGTGAGATTTTTCATTATATTACTTTGTTGTCAAGATTTATTGCAAGATAATAATTAGTCCATGATGAATAGAAGAAATTCACTGGAACCTACTACTTGCCAGGAAGTGTTCCAACCAGAAATATTAAAACATATTTTGTGGATTTTATTTTTTAACCTCAGTGGTAA